TGCTGTCCGTTCCGGCCACTTCAGCATTTACAGAAAGAGTATTCTCTGTTATGAACGCAAAGTGGCGGGACGACAGGAATAAAGCTTCATTAAAACTAAATAAAAATTAACTTTTAGTTTACTTAAATCTTTGTTTGCTATGTTTAGAGACTATTAATGTATTTAAGAGCGGCAGCAATTTGTTACTGGCTGCTAGGTGTAACAAATAATATGTTTAAAAACAAAAAATAAAATACTTTATTTTTATGCTGAGTACTTTTTTTTTAACCTTTTAGTTGAGAAATACTTTATGTAAAGCCTGAAAAGGTGGCAACCCTAGCTGTAACAGGCATCAGTAACTTGAAAAGGCTCTTAATGTAAAACGTTAAAAGCAAACTAAAAATTTTAATTTTTACGTAATTTGTTTAAACTGTGTTCGATATTCGAACTTGTATAGCATTTTCTAGGTCGAGCATAAGCTTAAAAAATACATACAAGGGGCGGCTTATTAAATCGATTGACCTCGAAAACAGTTAGGGCACGTGATCATATATTTCTGCTTTGCACAACACTGTACCTTTTTACAATATCGCTACTAATTACATAGTCACCTGCATATATACTTAACAGCCATATCATGCAAGGTACGAAAAAGAAAAACAACAATTTGCTTTTTTCTTTAAACGCGAATTAAATTGTTTCGTAATTTACCCTGCCAGCAATAATTATACCTACAGCACGTAGTGTTTTAAACCTACAACTTCTAATAATTCTTTTAAAAAGGAAACGTTGTATCTATATAATTATGCATTCGTGTATACTCTTATTAATTAACGAATCTCATTTTTTATTAATAATGTCAGTAATATCAGTAAAAATAAGAGTCAATTTTAGTGCAACAATTCTATCAACTTCATTTGCAAGTAAAATTCTTCTCTAACTGATATAGTTAGGACGATCTCTAGTCTAGTTAGTAAGTTGAAAGTTTTATTGCTAACTATGCCAATTTTCAACGTCCCAATTACATTATTCTAATGGTAACAGATAAAGTCCGTCATCTTAAAGTGTCGACTGTAGTAATAAAATTCTGAAGCAATTTATTAGCTTCCTGAGTCGACATCGGCACTCACAGAGAAGAAGGTCTGAACCTTATTGACAATGCTGAGAGCGCAATAATCATTAATCAATTTATCCTTTCAACTTTCACGACACCCCCCTATAAATGCTTTCAAACTATTTTGAGCTTATTTAGTGACAATTCTAAGAGGCAACAATTCTTATTCAGTCTAACTTTGCAACCTTCAAAACTCCGCTGTAATAGCTTTCAAACTATTTTGATCTTTGCAGGTATTAATACAAGTGGTTAAAACAAAATGTGTATTCTTTACAGGTAGGGGGCACATTTAAATTAGACATTAATAAAGGTTGTCTTACTTCTTACATAAGTTGAAGTATACCAATAAACGGGACTTCTCAAAGTTTGTTCGGTCCTTGTTAATTGTATATAATCATTGTGTATAGTCATTGTATATATTTTTGTAATATTTAGAAGACGTGCTGTAAGTTAAGTTTTATATTTATATTAGTTTACGATAGTTGTTAGTTTGTACAAATTTTTATTATCACTTTGAAAAGATTTATTCATAGGCACGCCTGGGAATCTCTTTGAACTGGACATCAACAAACAGGGATGGTTCGCAAATGTACAATTACCTACTTTCACAAACTTTTGCAATCACCCGCTGTGTCGGCATCTTCTAATTCAAATTCAATATTTTTCAGAACCGAATGGGCGTTACCATCTCTGTTTGTCGAAGGGCGTACCTACCCCTCTATATGTATATATTAATTGTACCAATTCATTAAAGAGAGGACAAGTATTTCAACCTTGGTACCAAGAACTCGTAACTTGAACATTTCAGTGACCATTTTTTGCAACTTGTATTTTTTCTGTACTTGTTTTAATTAAAACATAGCTCACGGTGTTGATGTGTTTATTTTGAAACACCATCATCGAAACAAAGTTATTATAGTTTTTGTATAGTTTTATTAATTCGGGATGACCTGAACTTTAGGTTATATGTATTACAGCTAGCACGAGTGTGTTTGTGTGCGATCGGGCACACGTGTGGGTGAACGGCCTATCGATTCGCCGACTAGCCGCGGGAGCCTTTCTTCATGTACGCCGTATTAGTAAATGTGTGTGTCGTACCTGCGTTCTGGGAAAGCAGTTAAACAGTTCAAAGAAAAAATAAACTATACGGATGTTTCCAGAAGGTTTCAGAAAGTAAACGAAAGAGTATTTAAAGGAAGAGACGATCGACGAGAGAACGAGAAATAAATTGACCGTTGCAGAAGTGAATCCAAAAATAAATTGACAGTGATAGCAGTGAAATAAACAGCGCTGTTAATAGTGATATATCAATAGTAGTGTAAGTAGAATAATAACCTAAGTTTAGTAATAATTTAATAGTGTTTTTTAGTTTAAGTTCTTTAATAATTAGTGTAAATAAATAGTTTTTGTCGCTATCAGTCTTAGAAGTTAATTTTGTTAAACCCACGAACATTACAGTATGTATAAGACCTGCAGCATTGTAATTCATGTTTTGTTCAACTGATGGCAGCACGTTAACATAACCTAATCTAACCTAACTCTATTACTTTCCAAATTGTCCTTATCTCTCTCCTTAAATAATAAATGATAAAAATACTAGCTTCATGAAGACCTCACGGAGGCCACAAGGAGCCTTGTTATCGCACATTTCCCATCACTGGTCTAGACTGTATACATTCGTCATTTGATACCATCGGTTTTCAGTGGCGGCTCGTATGTAGCTAAACTTAACTTAATATATCTACGTATATGTGGTACATATGCCTGAGATATGCAGATAATACTTTCTATCGGTCAAAACTTCAAATTAAAAGAAGAATTTAATTTAAGCCTCACTTACCTATAACTGATTTACGTCAAGTGTTTTCGGATGTCATAATATCCTCAGGATTTTGTACATTTGTCATGGTTGTAGCTCTTCTTTTCGAGGAGTCTAAATAAAATAATAATTAGTCGGTGAAAGCTTTAACTGCATTAACTACATAACATATAACAGAGACGTGATTTATTTGAAATACTTGCATTTATAATGCAAATACAAAATAAAAAGTACCTATTTTTATATTGCATTTAAATACTTTTTTGAGAAAAGCATTTTGTATTTTATTTAAAATACTTTTTCAAATCTATGTTCTATTTGTAAAGATGAATGATGAAGGAAAGTTGCACACATTGGCTATTGAAGGTATTACAAGCTTAAATAGGGGACAACGAGACATTCCATGAATGCCTTCTAATTATTTAACTGAAGAGAGCCCAACAAATTCTAAACTCCTTGGAAATGGATAATCTAAAATATTGGATCGAGATTGTTTCGGGAGCTAAAGAAACTATGGATTCCATTTCTTTCTCTTATTATTAAAAAATTAAAAGATCGGAAACAAAATGGGGTTGCAAATATTTTAATATAAAATCATTGATGTTGATTTTACATCAATAAAATTTATTTACTTACAAATATAATTTTTTTACCATACCCCTACCGAAAGTACGATGCTTTTCCCTTATTTCACGGTCGAAAGTGCAATATTCCCGATTGGATAAGAAAATGCATAGGTATGCTCTTTATTATCTTCTAGATAGGGGTATGATTAAAAATTGGATCTATGTATGTAAGATTTGGGAAGAAAGTACGAAACAACCTTCCGGAAGTATGCGGCCTTCGTCTCCGGCTCGGGCGGTTATTCACATCCGGAAGGAATGCTGTACTTTAATCCCTTAATTCATAATATAGGTACTAATTATTCTTCTTATCGTTTTATACAATACAGAAATACGATGCAATGAAAAACCATCTAAAATTTTCCATTCCAACGATATATGCAACAATATGTTGTTTGTCCATAAACAGAAATTACCTAATAATAACGATTATTACTATACGATTCGATGATTCATGTTATTTGAATGTCGTAACCGCCAACAGAGAGAAAAAAACCAAGAAACCGAAGGAACGATAGTTTAAAGTCTCTCGATTTAACAGCAACATGCTGATGAACTTTCTACCCTTTTAATTTATTTACTCTCTTCTCAAACGTGATCTATTAACAATAATAATAAGAAGAATTTGTTAATTAACGATTGTTAATAGTTGTTACTGTAATTATTTCACTACTTGCATCAGTCGTCCAATTATATTTATTGTAACGCCAAAAGACACGCAATAGATAAAGTAAATCGATAAAAACGTAGTTTATTTTATTATTAATTTCACGATGACCATACCGCCGGCACGTGTAGATAAATGGGATGAAATTCAATGCGACGAAGTAACGTTAAAGTTACGCCCTTTGAAACCAATAGTACGACTCAACAATACAATGAACTTTTTAAATTCAAGTGTATTCACAATCAGTACAATATAGCAATAAATAATAATAATAATAACTCGACACACGGTGATCAAAAATTGCAAGAGGCATAGTTCTATGATATTTTTGTGTAATTTGTCAACTCTTCATTTTTCTTTTTTCGATTGAAAATTACGAAAATAATGTTAGAAAATATCTCTTAACCGAGGAATTGAAGAAGTTACTTGTCATGTTGAAACGCGTATCAATTAGGTTTTCAGCTACTAGCAGAAGACAGAAACAACTCAAATGAGTATTTTATAAATTATGTTAGGTCCTTGAATCACTCTGATGAGATTGAGAGTCCTGCTGAAATTTTTGTTATATATCAAGGTAATATGGAAGCGGTATTGATAAAACAATATTGTATGAAAATAAACAAAAGCAAAACAAAAATACACGTCCAACCAAACCTTAAAAACGTCGTGGATAGAAATAAGGAGACATAACCGAGGACTCTATGGAAATTGATAAGAAATAGGCGAGATAGGTTGGTAGGACACCTTTCTCAGGCATAAAGGGATAGTCAGATACATAAAAGAGGCAGAAACAGGAATTAAGAGGAGTAGAGGTAGACCTAGATTGAATTACTATTTAACGATTTGGGATGTTCTAGTTTAAGGGAAATGCAAAGATTAGCTCAGGATAGGAAAGGTGGACGTCCAACCAGTCTTAGGACAGGCTTCATGGTGATGAACCTACCTAATGAAAATTGGTAATTGAGATTGTATTGGTCGTTTGCCCTAATTTATATTATTTATTGATTAGTATGCTAATGGATAAAAACGTAGTTTATTTTAGGGAAAGGGCGAATATAAAGATAGGAGACGAAAAATTAGAAGAAGTGGCTGATTTTAGATACCCAGGAAGTCAGATAAGTCAGGATGGAAGGAGTAGTAGGGATATAAAGCAGAGGATAGCGCAGGGTCGTATCGCCTTTAATGAAAAGAAGTCACTTCTATGCTCGCGAACGGTTAATTTAGAAATTCGAAAAAGGTTGTTAAAGATGTATGTTTGGAGCACGGCATTGTACGGGTGCGAAACATGGACAGTGGGAGCG